TGGCTGGGGTAGTTCTCTACTCAGTGTTACTGATGGTCATGAAATAATAAGTGCTGGAGAATACCCCTTCCCAGACAGGTCCTCCTGACGCTGATAGCACAGTGGCAGTCCAGCATCTCCCAGCTGGCTTGGCAAAATCCATCACCTGAACAAAATGCAAAGAGGTTAAAATTGAAGCAAAAATCAAGTGTTATTTGTGAATAGCACTGCAGTGGAAATACACATGCCATAGTAAACTATGGATGTACTGGAAAGACTAATGCAAAGGGAAGTTTTTGAACAGAAAATGAGCATTATTAGTTGGGCACAGTGGCTCACACCTGTAATCCCAGCTACTTGGGAGGTGGAGATCAGGAAGATCATGGCCTGAAGCCAACCCAGGCAAAAATTTCATGAGAACCCATCTCAACAAATAAAAGCTGGGCATGGTGGCATGAACCTGTAATCCAGCTATGCAGGAAGCATAAATAGGAGAATCATGGTCCATGCCAGCTTGAGCGTAAATGCAAGACCTTATTTGAAAAATAACAAGAGCTAAAAGGACCTGGGGCATGGCTCAAGTGGTAGAGCACCTGCCTAGCAAGTATGAAACCCTGAGTTCAAAACCCCAGTACTGCAAAGAAAAGTTATAATCAAGGTATTTTGAAATGATAATCTTTAACATAACAAAAGTGGCTTGAGCAGACAGTTGCTGAACAGATGTCCTCACAGAAGTACTTCTTGTTTAACGTTTTGGTGGCCTTTGTGTAAGGTTGTGGTCCTGGCAAAGCAGGCACTCTGCTACTTGAACTACATCTCTAATCCATTTTGCTCTGGTTATTTTGGAGATAGGGTCTGGTGAACTAGTTGCCAAATCTGGTCCTGAACCATGATCCATACAATTTCAGCCTCCCAAATAAATAGGATTATAGGCAAGAGCCACGGGTTCAGGGCCGCGGCAGTCTTTTGATAGCTCCTATCGGGCAATCATATGTAAGAACCCTTCCTTCACAACCTCTCAGCTTTATTTATTGTGCTAGGGTCAACAGAAGCAACTTCGTTTTGATTTTGACAACTTTCCCTGAAATCAGCTATCACTACAGACAGCAGAGCAATGACATTTTAGGCCTTTGGGGCAGCATGAGCCCAAAATGGCCAGGTAGAAATATTATCCTTCAACTTAATGCAACCATTTTTGTGTCCCCTGGTCGGCTCCCCTTGGAGACTAATACCTTTACTCAGCAGAACTCAAAGTTGTGGGACAGGAAGCAAAAATCCCACAAGCAGGTTATTAGGTTTACTACCGAGTGAAACCACCTCACCTCCATCCCTTGGCTCATGGGTCTGTGTATTTTGGCTATGGGGAAATAGAATCATGGCAGTCTCTGATTCAAAGCATACATGAAATCCTGTAAAACAGAGCGCTATTCCTCCTGGCACTTGGGATTGAGCACAGGCCCTTACCCATGTTCTACTTCTTGCACCACATCCCCAGCCCTTTTGTTTATAATATTGTTTTTGATATAGGGCCGTGAAAACTTTGCAGAGTCTGGACTTGAATTTATGATCTTTCTACTGAGTAGATGGAATTGCAGGTATGCACCACCACACCTGGCAAGGGTGTTATCTCTTGAGTGGCACCATAATCAAATCTTCAGAGTTACACAGCCTTCCAATAAGGCCAACCACTTCTGGGTTATGGTATAGATGGGAAGACCAATGAATTCCATGGCTGTGAGCTTACTGCTGGACTTCCTGGGCAGTGAAATGAGCTCTAGGTCAGGAGCAATGCTCTGTGGAATACCAAGATGGTGGATGAAGCACTCTGTCAGTCTGCAAGTCATGGTACTGGCAGAGCACTATGGGCAGAGTAGGCAAATCCATGTCTAGTACGTGTCTTTTTCAAGGAAAGTGAATCTGGCCCTCATGATGGAAGCACTCCAGTGCCACCAGGCAGATGGCTGCCCTCATCTGGAAATGGTGCCACGAGGGTCTATACCTTGGTCTCTGCTGCAGCCAAAGAAAAGCTTCGGCAATGGTGTTGGCCACATCAGTACAATAATCCCATGCCCACGAGCCTGGCCATGGCCTCATCCCAGTTCCCACAGCTACCTGCTGCTGGATCCATTGAGAAACACTGGAGTAGGAGGGGAGTTGTGTCTCCCCAAATTCACATTGAAGTCCCGATGCTCAGCCCTTCAGAATGTGACCTTATTTACACAAGGTATGTTTACAGAGATAATCATGTCAAAGTGAGGTCAATAGTCTGATGCACTGGCTGGTGTCCTTATAAAAAGGGAAAATTCAGACACACTGACACACAGGGAGAACATCAAGTGAAGGTGGAGGCAGAGAAAGGAGAGATGCTTCTATAAGCCAACAAAGGCCAACAATTGCCCAGAATTCACTAGAAGCCAGGAGAGAGTCCTGGAACTTATTCCTTCTCACAGCTCAGGAGGAAACACGTTATGTTAGGCTTCCAGCCTGCACAATACATTTCTGTCACTTAAATGACCCAGAAATTCATACAGAGCTGAGTGTATGTCCACAGAACTCCATCCTTTCAACTGGTTGTTAAGAGTCACTGGAAGCGGATGGTGTCCTGTGGCAGGCATTCATGTGACACGTAAATGTCCATATAGTTTGTACCCAGACTTCCATGACCCCAAACTTCCAATTCTGTTCCTTCCAAGTCCCTGACAATCCAGCTAAACTGCCAGCAACTGTCTGTGAATTGGCATCCATCTGCACCTTGGGCCACATCTCCTCCAACCACCGTGGCCAGCCAATGCATTGCTCAAGTTTTCATTCATTACTGTTCTGCAGGGTTACCCCTGAATGGGGCTGTAGCACAGCACCTATACTTTTTGGGTGGAACTAGTGCATCACGCAGACCCCTCTGTTGGCTTGAGTTTCTCCTCCTCCACCTACTGGTTGTAGAGAACCTGTCAGAAGGCTGTGGCGTAGGCTGAGGGAAGGAAGCAATGCTGCAGGAGCTGGTACTGAAGGGGCTGAACCCACTTCTGAGCATATCACCAAGATGCCTGGACCTCCTGGTTTCCATATGATGGTGGGTCACTGCTGCATGCTCCAGACCTTCTGGCCAAGTAAGCCCAACAACACTTTGCTTATGATAGGAAACCCAGCCTGGATGGTCAGTGATGCCCCGTGCTTGGGCAGTCGGTCTCCATCAAGTCCCGGGGCAGAGGTAGTTTCTCAGGAGGAAAGTTGTTCCTGCAAAAGACAGCACAGATCTGCTCCAAGTTCTGGTGGTCTGGAGTGGTCATGGGCGTTCTGAGTACCATCAGATCTGCCAGATCACAGGGCTCTGGTCGTCAGAATGGCTTCTATGGGTACAGCAGCTAGAACCTACAGAGTTGTGTTGCTCTGGCCTTTTCTTGAAACTTCTTCTTCTGGAGGACTCTGGAGGAGGTCTTGGTAGCACATTACAATGTGCTGCTTCTGAAACCTCAAAGGGCCTCTGAGAATTCACCTCTTTTTTCACAGTAGGTGAGAAGCACCATAGCTACTTGCCTTTCACCTTAGAGTGGATCTTGCAAAGTTCTCTGAGCCGAATAACTCTTAGAAATCACAGGTGCCTGTAATTTTTTTCCGGTTTTTCTCTCATCTGCTAGTTGCCATGTGTTTTATTAAGGTTGCTGAAGTACTTGGTGCCTTAGTGTTAACCAATTCAATTTTGGAGGCTCATCATCCAGGAAAACCAATACCTGAGAGGAGTGTTGGAGAGAAAGAAAGGCTTTATTGAGGAGACCAGCAACCTGGAAAGGAGGCTGACTAATACCTTCAGTCCCTTCTCCAGTGTTTGGGAAAGTGGGGAATGTTCACATGAGCATTAGGTTAGAGCTACGTGCAGAAATCCGTGTTTCCCAGGAGCTTGGGTAGGGCAGGTCTGGTGTTTTGATGCCAACCAGGGTGACAATAGCTCAGTAACTGCCTATTCTTATCTCGAGAGCAGCATGCTTTGGAATGCAGAGGAAAGGTCATATCCCGGGAATGAGAAGGGGAACAGGAATAAAGCAAGATGGGGTCACTGATGGCAACAGCCTGTTACACCACTTCCTGTGTATCATATCTAACCTGCAAACTGCCATCAATATGGTGGACCTGCCATGTTCTGTGAGAAGTTCAGATAATAAAGATCAGTTCATAGAAATGGAAATGAGAATAGTCTGTGGGAGAGGGGAACTGGAGCCAGTGATTAGTGTGTATAAAGCTTTGGTTTTACCAGATTGAAAAAAATCCTGGAGACAGATGGCAGCAATGGCTTGCACAACAATGTGAATGTACTGAATGCCTCTGTGTGAGATGCTTAAAAATGATTAAAGTGGGAGGATTTATGTTCTGTGTGTTTTACTGCAATATTCTAAAAATAAAAAGAAGAAAAAGTAAAACCGTTATTAAAACTGTCAGGATCAAAATGGAGTCTCTTATGTCAAAGACTAATAAAATGGAGTTAGAAGGCCTGAAGGAAGGATCTTCTTGCATACTTTCCTGCTAAGAAGAACTACTGCAAAGACTCCCACTAAAACTACAGCCCTGCAGCCAAGGCTACTTCTATGAGGACACCTTTCCAGTACCAGCCAGTCCTACCTGTAACCTTGTAAGTAGCCTTACTAAACCCCAACTTTGCGGTCAAAGTCAATTATGAAGACCTTCTAGCAATAGCAGTACACATTTCACTGCTTGTGATAAGCCCCTGTAACTGTGGCGGGAAGGTGGGGAGGAGGAAAAGAGATTAATGAGTGCTACAGTAAACAAAGGAAAACTGGAGTTGGAGAATGTTACCTGGAGACCAGAGAAGGGTCACCTCGCCCCAGAGGTTAAAACAGCCAATGAAATAACATATGATTATGTATGGGACAATCTGTACCCCCCCCATTTCTGTAACCTACTCTAAATGGTATATAAGGAAAGCTTCCTTTATTCTTGGTGCTCAGCCTTTGGACATGAGTCTGCTGAGTCACTGCCAGCTTACTTAATAAACTTGCTTCCTGAAAGCTTTGGTGCCCTCTCAGTCTCTGTCTGAGCCTCCTGCAACATTTCTGGGGGCTCATTCAGGATTTGGAGGGTGGTGTTTTCACCTCCTTGTCACCGGCTCAACATCCCCAGCCTGCCAGGAGGGCTGCCCCTGCCAGGCACCACCAGATGGTGTTGATCCAAGGAGGCGAGTTCCAGTTGCACAAAGGGACCGGGAAAGGCTCGGGAACCAACCTGGGAGCCCTACTCATCAGACTGGTAAGAACCAAGGTTCAAATTCAGGCCTGCCTCAGGAGGCAGTAGGGGAGTCTGATCAACTCTCAAGAGCACCAGAGTAATGCCCTTTTGGGGAGTGAAACTGTGTCTTTCAGGTTCAGGGAGTGGGGTGGAAGTACTGTGCAGTGTGAGAGTGTGTGAAAGTGTGAGCCTGAGATGTAGACTGTTTATAAAGCAAGTGTGGAGTCCTGATCTGTGCGTGGGGCCATGGTGAACTCATATGGTCTAGGGCCTCTGATCTGGGGACTCACTATGGCCAAGAAATGCTAAATCCCCACAAGGGGAGTGGCCAGAGTGAGTGGTGTTATTTGTTTATCCCTGTGCCAGAGAGGAGGACCCCTTACCTCCTCTCCACAGCCCTCATCCCTTCTGTCATTGTCTCAATGTCTGACAAACAGGAGGAATTGGGAGGAGGTCAGAGTAAGTACACCCCCCTAGAACTTTAAGAGGGGATTTAATGGAGATTACAGAGTCAAACTGACTTCTGACAAGCTTAGGACTTTCTGTGAAATAGACTAGCCTACTTTTGGTATCGGATGGTCCTCAGAGTGGTCATTAAATAAGGTCATAGTCAATAGAGTTTTTAAAGTGGTTGTAGGGGAGCCTGAAACACCCAGGTGTTTCCTTATACAGACTGCTGGCAGGATGCAGTCCTCAACCAGCCCACGTGGCTAAAACCCCAGCTAGAGAGAGCATGTAAGATCATGGTACCAGGGTGGCAGCAGCTTCCAAGTACAGGGGAAAATGTGAAAAGCCAGAGAAGCCCATATTAATGAGGGACCCCAAGGAGTCCCCACCCCCCATGTGCCACTGTACAGATTAGAGAATTCCTAGGAGCTGCAGGTTTCTGTGGGATCTGGATCCCCAATTACTCTGTCTTAGCAAAACCCCTTTATTAAGCCACAAAGCGGGGAGAGTGGGACCTGTGGTATGGGGAGAGAAACAAACAAAAAAAGGCCTTTAAAAAAACTTAAGAAGGCACTCACAAACACACCCACTCTGGGCCTGCCAGATAGGATAAAGCCCTTCTTCCTTTATGTACATGAGGGACTGGGAGTTGTAGAAGTCTTGACCCAGCTGCTAGGTTCCTGACACTGCCCAGTGGCCTATTTATAAAAGCAACTTGATATAGTTTCCCCAGGCTGGCCACCCTGCCTGTGTGCCCTGGCAGCTACTGCCATGGCTGAAGCAGACAAACTTACTTTGAGACAAAAACTCACAGTCTGAGTTCCCCACTTTGTTTTGACTCTCATGGAATATAAAGAAAATTATTGGTTAACACATTCCCAAATGGTCCAATATCAAAGGATGTTATGTAAAAACCCATCTGTCCAGCTAGAGGTTGTTAAAACTCTCAACCCAACCACCCTATTATGGGTTAATTCAGGCCCACTGGATCATGACTGTTTAGAGATTATGGATGAGGTGTTCTCCAGCTGGCCAGGCTTGACCAACCAGCCCAATTAGTCACTTGGACATTGAGTGTTTCATGGATGGCAACAGCTTTGTCTGAAAAGACACATGTTTTGCCGGATATGCTGGATGCTATCATTAAAAACACGACCACTGCCAGTTGGGACTTCTAACTTGAAAAAAAAGTGTTAAATATGGACAAAAAAATTCTAAAATTACTAAAATATGTACGGGCCCCTAAGTGAGTAGCAGTCATGTACTCCGAGGGCACCAGAAAGGAGAGATAACAGCTGTTCAGGGAAATCGAAAGGCTGATCGGGAAGCCAAGCAAACAGCCCTCAGAAGAGGACAAACCTTGGCCTCACTGGCAGCTGCCTTGTTCCTGTGTCCCTTATCTAAATGGGATTCATGGCATACTTCACAAGAACAGGCTTGGTTTGAGACTGAAGGCAGAAATTTTCTACTGGATGGATGGTGGAAGTTTACTGATGGCCACATTGCCATACCTGAGTCACTGGCTCCCACATTTGTCAAGCAGTTCCATGAAGGAACACACCCAGGACAAATAGCTCTTGAGACCACCTTGGCCCAGCATTTTTATGTCCCCAAGCCCTCCAGCATAAGTAAGACAGTATGTGAAAGATACCATCTATGTGCCAGAAAAAATCCCTGATATTTCCTGGTGTTTGTCTACACTGTCTCAGGATAGATAAAAGCCTTCCCCACTCAGACTGAGAAAGTCCAAAAAATGGCCAGGTGCCTGTTAAAAAAAAATCATCCCTCAATTAGGAATACCTGTGTCTATTGGGTTAGACAATGGGCTGGCCTTTGTGGCTGAGGTGGTACAGTTAATAGCTAAGAGATTAAATATAACTTAAAAGCTATACACGGCCTATCACCCCCAGAGTTCAGGAAAAATAAAACTTATAAACAGGACTCTAAAAATTACAATAAAAAAAACTATGCCAGCTGACCCACCTACTCTGGGATCAATCACTGCCCACAGCCTTGCTCAGGATTAGGTCCAGCCCCACCAGACAGATGGGTCTCTCCCCTTTCGAAATGCTTTTTTGGCGTCCACCCCTTTTAGTCAAGGGCCTGCGAGGGGACCTTAAGAAAATAGGTGACCTCACCCTGAGACAACAGATACAGACCTTGCTTTGACTCCCTCAAAAATCAATGACTGGGTAAGAGAGAGACTCCCGTTAGCCTGACAACTCCCCCACACACTTATAAACCAGGGGATGCTGTTTGGATAAAGGAGGAATGTTCAACCATAAAGCTCCACTGGGGGGGCCCTTTTGTTGTTTTGTCCACCTCCATAGCACTTAAGGTAGCAGAGATTGTTCCCTGGCTCCACCACAGCAGAGTGAAGCCAACTTCCCTCTAGTGGGAGTGCATTCCTGACCAATCTCACCGTACAAGATCACCTTCAAAACACCAGTGCCCTTCCCCGACAGGACCTGCTTCCCAGGAGACACCAGGAGACCATGGATGATGAGACATCAGCCCTGCTCTAGTCACTCTGGAAGCTGACTAGTCTGTGCACAGCGGAAGCCTGAGGAGTCACCCATCTCACCTTTAAGGATGAGTCCATTCTGTGTTTTCTTCTTGCTAATCTTGGTCGGCTCTCTACCTGGGGATCCCCAGGCTTTGGACTGTGAATCATGTATGTACACTACCCAAGCGGGAGTGCTGTTACCAAAACTCTGGTTTTCCATACTTATTATTCCTGTGCAGGCACCATTGTTGGGTCATGCACCCACAGCCATACCATCTTCTCAGTGTGCTCTCATGATGGTCAGTTTATCTGTTTTAACCCCATCTATCACCCTCAGGAGCAATGGCTAGTGGTCCAAAGCTTCACCAGCAGTGGGAAGCTCGTTAACTGCACCCAGGTTAGTGACCCCAACACACCTGTGTCCATATAATTTGATGTGTGTGCCACAATAGCTAAAAACACTGGACCTTAGTGCAACTGTGGGGGCTAGCCTGGGAAAGGACCTACAGGTTAAATGACAAGTATATATGCTTAGAAGATGACAGTGGGACATTTGGTTGTGCGTACTATGAACGACTCTACTGCCCTTATTGGGGTTGTGAAAGGTGGGCATCTTGGTTAAAAGGGGAGGTCCATACCTCACATGGGACTGCTGCTCTTTTACAAAAAGGGAAGCAACCCCCGACTGCACTCTTGGTGCCTGTAACCCTGTAAATTTCAACCTTAGTGAAACAGGCTGGGAAGCTGGGAAAATGTCTGACATTTTAATCTATGGAAAGGAAACAGACCCCAGTACTTTGCTGCATTTTCAACTCACTGTAATCACTCAAACAACCAAAAACCTGTTCCTCTCACTAGCTGAGTCCATAGCACAAACTCTGAATGTAACTTCGTGTTATGTTTGTGGAGGAATTAATATGAGAGAACAATGGCCATGGGAGATGAAAGAGCTAAACCCAGAGAGCCCTTTAATGAAACCATTCCCCCAGCCACGGGGACAGCATTTGGCTCCTAAAAACCTCTATTATTGGGAACTACTGTATCTCCTGTCCAAAAGGCCAATTCTCCACCCTGGTAGGGGACTTGATCTGTTTGGGACAAAAGTTTTACAATGGTTCCTCTCAGGAGACTCAGTGGTTGGAGGCTCCTGATCACACGGAGCCCCAGCCTCACCTGCTGGCTGCAGTAGCCTGGAACAATCTCAGTCTGAGTAACTGCTGTTTACAGATTGATGAGGAGGACAAGGTAATTAAAGAGATTACTAACTAGATAAAAAGGCTTGCCCGAGTCCCTGTGCAGACCTGAAAGGGATAAAGTTCCAGTGACATATTGGGGGCTGGGGGAAGGTCACATAGTGGGTTCAAGACCTTAATAGGGACAACGTTCCTTCTCTTAAAAGCATGGCTGATATCACCCTGTGTAATCCCCCGGTACTGCGGTCTTTATCAAGATGATGCTCTTTGACCCAGAAGTGGGTCTGAGCATCAAAGGGGGGAGTATGGCAGGAAGGCAGGGAGGGAGAAGGGAGATCAATGAGTGCTAGAGTAAAACAAGGGAAAACCGGAGTTGGGAATGTTACCTGGAGAACAGAGAATGGTCACCTCACCCTTGGATAAGGGTTAAACATTGGTTAAAACAGCCAATGAAATAACATGTGATTATGTATGGGACAAGCTGTTACTCCCCCTCCCCACCCCATTTCTGTAACTTGCTCTAAATAGTATAATGTAGTAGGGAGGAAGACCAGAAGAAAACAGACTAGGCCTGAGTCCTGATAAAGTAGCAGGGAGGAAGGGATGGCATAGCAGAGAGATAAAACCTGAGAAACTAAACATGAGGAAGGTCACATAGCACCAGGGAGGGGAAAGTCACATAGCACTAGGGTGAGGTAGCCAATAAAATTAAATATAACCATATATGGATTAGACCTTGCTTTTTTGCTTCTGTAACCTGATTGCAAGGGTATATAAGGTGAGACCCCTCTGTTCTCAGGGCTCAGCCTTTGGACATGAGTCCGCTGAGTCTGTGCTGGCACAGTAAAACACTGCTTCCTGCTAATTGCCCCAAGAGTCCCATATCTCAGCTAGCAACCTCCCTGCAACACTATAAGGAAAGCCCCCTTTGTTCTCAGTACTCAGCTTTTGCACATAAGTCTGCTGAGTCGCTGCTGGCCTGCTTAATAAACTTGAGCCCTGCTGCAACATAACCAATGCACTTTTGTTTCAAAATAACCGTTATGTCATTCTGAAAGTTTTCCCTTGCCTCTACCCAGCCCCACCCCCCGTCCCCTGATATTCTTATGGTCTGCCATAGTACACACATCAAAGATTTCAGTCCTCTGCACATTCCCAAATGATTCATTTCTTTGGAGAGCCTCTCCCCCTGTTGCTATTTTTAGGTTGACAAAAGAAAGTTAAACCTTCTAGATCATGATCTGTAGTTAAACAATTCCCAGGTCACTCATATGATAACTATTTTCTCAGTCTTTCTTTTTAGAAATATAAGTTACAAGCAATAAAAATAACCAAAGCAAAGAGAGATTTCTGTGACCTATACTGTAGCAGAAAGCAGGATAAGTTACATAGTTGTGAGGCAGCATGGGGTAGGTATACTGTTAGCCCTGTCAGGTAAAAGCAAACTGCTTCTGGCAGACCTTGAAAATTACTGTGGAGAAAAAGACATTAGCTAGACCAATAGCAGCAAAGCAAGGACCAGGGACAAGATTGATTTGCCCCAGTAAAAGTACAACATTCAGACAGCAGCTGCAAGTGGAGTCACCATGTGACCACATTTATTATTGTTCATATTCTCCAGGGTCCATCCAATATCTGCAGACTGAGCTAGTGAGTTAGCTGTACAGAAATGTGATCAGTATTCCTATCCCTAATTTCTTTTTTCTTTGCAGTGCTGGAGCTCAAACCCAGGGCCTTGTACATCCTGGGCAAGTAGTCTACCACTGAGCTACGTCCCCAGCCCCTAGTCCTGCTTCTTTTATGTCTCCTGTGGGAGACTCTGTCTCTGTAATTACCCAGGAGTGCAGCCAGGACTGAAGGGAAGCAAGTGAGATACCAGGGCATAAATTTAAAAGAGACACTCACTCACAGGACCAGCAAGAGCTGAGCCTGCCCTTAAACTTCATCCCTTAGGTACCTCACTCTTAGGGAGATCCCCACACATACACCAGGGCTGGGCAAGTGCAGTGTTAGAAGTTAATACATGCATCCGCCACTGGTGGGATTATAACTCACCACAAACTTTCTGGAGAGCATTTAGTTATTTAAAAAATTAATTCCAAGATTCCCAAATTATCACTTCTCACACATTTGTCCTTTCTTGGGAGTCTTTAAAAGTTTGATTTCATTTTTATGGAGTAACATGTGAATGTAGTTTTAAATGCCACTAGCTTCCAGAATTGTGAGAAAATACATTTTATTGTTTTAGTAAAAGTCAAATCACTGTTGTAAACATAAGAAAAAATGTCAGTTCTGAGGCCCTTCCTCCCCTCCCCACAAGGAAATCCCTCCCAGCTCTACCCCTGTCCTCTGGTTCTATAACAGAGACGCAGAGGCTACCTTTGCTAAAACACTGACTTCACTTGAGCCCTCAGAGGCCAGATGAAAACAGGATTAGAAACTTGGAATCTCTGCCCTTGTTTTATATCTGTCTCCTTTATTACCTTAAAACTGGGTCAGATTCATGCTCAATTCTGCACGTATGCATGTTAATCACTTAATGGGAGTTCATCTTAAGCTGGGAGACTCCTTCGCCTTCAAGGCTGAAGACACCAAGATAAGAGTAACTAAAGGAAGCCAGGCACAGTGGTTCAAGCCTGTAATTCTAGCTCCTCAGGAGATTGAGATCAGGAGGATTGTGGTTCAAGGCCAGTCTGGACAAAAGTTTGCAAGACTCCATCTCAGTGGAAAAAGTTGGGTGTGGTGGCATGTCCCTGTCATCCTAGTTACTGAGGGAAGTGTAAAATATGAGGCTGGAGGTCCAAGCTGGCCTAGACAAAAAGTGAGACCCTATTTCCAAAATAACCAGAGCAAAAAGGGCTGAGGGTATGGCTCAAGCTGTAGAACACAAGTACAAAGCCCTGAGTTCAAACCTTAGTACCCCCCCAAAGAAAAGAATAACTATGGAGCTGAGCATGGTAGCACTCACCTGTAACCCCAGTGCTCCAAAGAATGAGGAAGGAAGGTCACAAGTCAAGGCCATAGTAAGTTCAAAGCCAGCCTGAGCTATGTAGTGAGATCCTGTCTCAAAAACTTAAAACAAAAAAAAACTTAAAAAAAATAACTAATGTATTTTCAAGATTTGCAGGGTCATCAGAATGAACAGATTGCCAACTGCTAGCTTTTACCATGTCCTGTCCCAGACACTCAGAGTGGTGCCTAAAAGGCTCCAGTCATTGCCCTAAACCTGCCAGGAACATTGAGCCTTGAAGGCTCATCACCCCATGGCAAGCCTGTCCCTCTAAGCAGGAGCAATCATCTCATTACAGGAAATGAATAAGTGATGGTGACTTCCAGGAGCTTCGCAGAACCAGTCCTGAGACCACAGTTTGACCAAGACCCCTTCCTATGCAGGCTTCTTGCCCCCTTCCTTATGGAA